GGGGGCGGAGGGCTACCACCGGCACGGCGACGGTGAGGAGGAGGAACAGGAGGAGGCGGCGGCGGCATCGAAGAAGGGCAGGTTAGCCGTCCCGCGTCGGTCCCGGCGCCCTCACGCACCTCCCCTCCGAGCGGGCGGCAGATGGGGCGGCGCGCAGCCCGTCCTGAGGGGCGGGAGCGGGTCGGCGTCCGGCCAGACCCCTGCGGAACCGAAAATACCGAGGTTCGGGAGCCGAAACACTGGCCGGCGGTCAATGAGTATCCCCTATCTTACTTATTTTTAAACACACAAGTCGTGTGGCAGCGAGCCGAGTTACTTCGGATAGGCTTTGTCTCTTGGGAGTATCCCAACCTTGGATTAAATATGGCGTTAAAAGCTGCACTAATTTGCTTGTGAGTTAGGATCGGGGTTACTTAGCTCTATAACTGACCTCGTGATACATAAAATATCTATAAATCTGGCAATTTATAGCAGGAAGAACTTTAGCAGTAGTATTATCAAACGTTTTATTCTGTTGGTACTTCAGTCCTTTATGGATTCTGTTCACACTTTTTCTATTAACCCTATCTTCTACAGTAAGCGCTTAACTTACACTCTACACTTTCATGTATCCACCTCAGATTTCACAATTTTCAAAATGACAGTCTGAATACCGACAGTTTCGGTCGTGACAGGGTCACTGCTGACAGTACTGCCAGGCCACTGACTGCCCTCAGGTGTCCATCCCGGCCCTTGCAGGTGGCTTTGCCTGCCCTCAGGTTTCCGTCCATCCCTCACTGGTGTCCCAGACTCCCATTGGAAGGTCTGTGGACCAGAGGGGCTTGGCCAGATGTCTCCACAGGTGGGCTGCTGACAGGTATTTTATCTTATCCGACAGGTATTTCAGAGTCCCAGGCGAGGATCTGGAACAGCCAAATGACTAATACAAGACCAACAACCCCACTACCTTTGGCCACATTACTGGACTTCCCAGTGTTTGCATAATGGTTAGATGAGCACCCAAATGTATCCAATCTAATCAGAATATTTTAAAAAATCACACAGTTTTCTTCTTTCTCGGGAGTAGATTTGTTCTTGATTGGTTGATGCAGCAGCGCTAAAGGCCTGCCTTTCTTTGACAAAGAGCTAGCAAACAGCAGACTTCAGTGACAAGACTCCTCATGTGAGTGAAAGCAAGGTGTAGGTGATCTCCCTAAATGCATACATTTTGGCAGGAATTCCTTCAGAACCCCTGCAGTTGTATAGCATGAGGAGAGAACTCCCTCTGACCTTTTTCTGCTGATGAAGGTTAATGTGAAAAATCAGGGCTGTCCGATTTGTTGCTCAGTAAGTGCAGCATGGGTTATATTATAGTTGTATTCAGGGTTGGAAGTGATTGGAAATAAAAGCAGCAAGCAAAAGTAAGTCCTATGATGGGACAGTTCAACAGGAACTGAAAGGCATAATTTTGCAGTTTACATCTGTCCAGTCATGATTGGATGGCCTACCTTAGGTGCTACAGAAATATTAGAGGAAAAAGGATGTAACTAATTTTATGTTTTAATTTACAATTCTTAGAACTGATCTGGTTGTGCTACAAAATGAAGCCTGATTTGTTTGATTTTCAGATCAGCTAAACAGTTAATGAGTGCTGGCAGCAGTGAAGAAGATATAGATGACATTATTGATGAAATCTGTAATGAAAGCAGCTTTGCCAAAACACCTCTGGTGAGTAGGAGTCTGGAGAAATGCAGAATGGATGAGGCTCAGCAATGGAAAGATAAGCACTGTAAACTAAAACTGTTTTAAAGCAAAAACTGAACTAAAACAAGCTGTAGGATAAACTTGAAAAATAAAGCTGAAAGGAAAGTGCAACAATCCTGTAGCAAGGAATGAAGAGTTATAAAGAGATGGTCTTACCCAGGTAGTAAAAGGCAATTAAAGGAAGTGCTAGTTCAAGATCAAGCATAGTGTCAAATATCACAGAATCATGTAATGGTTGAGGTTGGAAGGAACCTCTATAGATCATCTGGTCCACCCACCTGCTCAAGCAGGACTACCTAGGGCTGGTTTCCCAGGACCATGTCCAGATGGCTTTTGAATATCTCCAAGGATGGAGACTCTACAGCCTCTCTAAGTAACCTGTTCCAGTGTTTGACCACTCTCACAAGAAGTAGAGAAGTTTTTTTTTATGTTTAACTGGAATTTCTTGTATTTCAATTTGTGTCCGTTGCCTCTCCTCCTGGCAGTGGGCCCTACTGAGAAGGCTTTGGCTACATCTTCTTTATTCTTCCCCATCATGTAGTTTTATACATTGATAAGATTGTCCTGACCTTAGTCTTCTCCAAGCTAAACAATTCCATCTCTCTTAGCCTCTACCTGTAAGTCAGATGGTCTAAGTCCACTGTTATGTCCATGTCTCTTTTATACTGGGCACAGCACTCCAGTGATGTCTGTGAGGTCATATCTGGAGTACTGTGCCCAGTTCTGTGCTCCCTAGTACAAGAGGTAGATGGAGCTACTGGAGAGACTCCTGCAAAAAGCCATGGAGATAATTAAGAGATTGAAGTATCTTTCATATGAGGAGAGGCTGAGAGATCTGGGACTGCTCAGCCTGGAGCAGAGAAGGCTCCAGGGGGATCTTATCAACGTGTGTATATACCTGATCGAAAGAGTAAAGAAGGGGCCAGACTCTCCTTGGTAGTGCCCAGTGACAGGACAAGAGGCAGTGAGCACAAACTGAAACACATGAAATTCCATCTGTACACAAGAAAACATTTTTGTACTGTGAGGGTGATCAAACAGTGGGACAGGCTGCCAAGAGAGGTTGTGGAATCTCCATTTGTGGAGATTTTCAAAATCCACCTGGACACAGTCCTGGGGAAGCTCCTGAAGCTGACCCTGCTTTGAGCAGCAGAGTTGGCCTAGATGATCTCAAGAGGTCCCTTCCAACTGAAATGATTCTGTGATTCTGTCTCACCAGTGCTGAGTAGAGAGGAACGATCACCTCTCTCAGCCTGCTGGCAATGTCATAGAATCATAAAATCATTTTGTTTGGAAGAGACCTTTAAGATCATCAGCTCCAACCATTAACCTAGCACTGCCAAGTTACCGCTAAACCATATCTGTCAGCACTACATCTACACATCTTTTTAACTGCCTCCAGTGATGGCAACTCCACCACTTCCGTGGACGGCGTGTTCCAATGCTTAACAACCCTTTCAATGAAGAAATTTTTCCTAATATCCAATCTAAACCTTCCCTGGCACAACTTGAGGCCATTTCCTCTTGTCCTATTGCTTGTTGCTTGGGAGAAGAGATTGACCCACACCTATCAGCTCCTTTCAGGTAGTTGTAGAGAGTGATAAAGTCTCCCCTGAGCCTTCTTTTCTCCAGGCTAAACAACCCGAGTTCGCTCAGCCACCCTTCATAAGACTTGTGCTCTAGACTCCTCACCAGCTCCTAATGTAGCCCAGGATGCTGTTGACCTGTGCTACAACGGCACACTGCTGGCTTATAGTTGACTTATCATTGACCAAATTTCCCATGGCCTTTTCTGCAAAGCCACTTCCCAGCTAGTCAGCCCTCTGTGTTCTGATTCATAAGGGTTATTCCTTCCCAGGGGTGGGAGTTTGCATTTTCCCATAGTTGAACTTCAAGAGATTCTTCTCAGCCCATTTCTGCAGCCTGTTGAGGTCCATCTGAATGGCAGTGCAGTCATCTGGCATACCAACCACTGCTCCCTGTTTTGTATGATCTGCAAATAACTTCTGTCCTTAGACAGCAGGCAATGGAAATGAAGCCACAAATTTATCTTGTCAGCAGAGTCGGAGTGATAGAAGGCATTGAAAATAGATATTCATTTAGGTATCACCAGTAGAAAATTGTGGTGTCTATACTTCATAACCCCCTGTGCAGATTCTCTTATTTTCATAAGTGAAGTTGGTTTTGCTTTGTTTGTCTTTGATTTTTTACCGAGTGGCTAAATCTGAACCAACAAAAAAACCGCTTGTATACAATACGTGTGTCTGAGAGAGAATTATGTCAGTAAATTTGTATAATTTTATCATTTTATATCCCTAGGACTTCCCATTTAGGATCTAGAATTCTAGTATTCTAGAATTAAAATAACTTGTTTTCTGTGCAGCAAATAACAAACTTTTCAAATACACTTTATCTTTTTGAATAATATAAGTGATTGATGTGTTTTCAGTTATACAAAAGCTCAAAAACACTGAGGGAGAAGGTTCCTAAATTAAAACTGGTTTTAAAAGCGTAATTGTTAAAAAGAGGGCATGAAATACTAAGTCCTGATTGTAAAGTCAAAGTGATCATGTGGTGTTAAATTCCTTCAGGCGGAGCTGGGAATTCAGTATGGAACAAGAAGGCTCGTTCCTCATTTATCTGTTACTTAAGCAGCTGTTGTCTCAAAGAGCCTCACAGAAACCTGAGCAAGAAAATTCCCAAATTCTTAGTCTTCTCCTTCTGTGACTGAGATTTTCTGGGTCCTGCTCATTAAGTAAACCACAATATTGTTACCTTACTGTAATGCTGCCTTTTATTCTTTGTTTGCTTTTTAAATAGAAATTGAAGTCTAACTCTGCAAGTCTCACTCCTGAAAGCAATAGTGTTGTTGTACAGGCTCATAGGAAAAGGTAAGTGAAAAATGTTTTGGCTGGTTGAACATAGCGTGATTATAGCTTGTTGTCAGTCAAATAATATTGCTACTGTTGAATCTGTGTTGACATTAACTAAGAAAGAAACTGAATATTCAGAGAAGCATTCTTTGTAAAGAAAACCAAAGATGAACGGAAAGATTAATTTGAAGAATTGCTAATGTGCTATCATGTGGCCAAAATTATTTATTATAAATTTATTCATTATTTAAGTTATTGAACAACAGCTTCCCTTGCCTTATGGACATATACATTTATCAAATGCTGCAGTGTATAGTCCATATATATATTTGGTATAGAGAGTGGTTGTCATACAGTTTCTCTTTGAACACCTCGGTAATGGAATTTTTAAAATTCTATAGTTCATAAGTATTTGGATTCTTTGCCTGTATTTAATAAATATTATTTTAGAACTATCATACTGTTAAACTAGGAGAATCATTGTACTGCTTCCTCTGAAATGTTTTGTTATAATTTAATATTTTTTAATGAAATCCACATAGATGCTGTCCAGTGTACCTGGGTGGAAGCTCTTCACCATATGGCATAGGAACAAATATTTCAAAAAGGTAGGAAATGTGAAAAAGAATGTTCTACTTGCTTTATCATTATTTTTAATCACAGCTGAGTTTCTCTGGTTGTGCATTTGAACTGGACAGGACAGCCTTATATTCATCTAAACATATGGCTGCCTGTAACTGCAGTTGAAGTCATCTCGTCCCTTCCAGTCCTCTGTTGTTGACCACTAGATCTTTTGTTTGTTTGAGGAGTTGAAAGATGTGTGCAAATGAGACACTAGACTCCAAAAATCAAAAAATAGTTAAGGAAATTGCTGCTGTAGAGTATTTTATTTTTCCCTGCCTCTCTTCAGCTTTCTATGTGGTGCCATGTATGTCACTTTAATCAGTGGGCTGGTTTAAGTCATCCCAGAGCCTGAACTGAAAATAGCCAGAGTACTTTGCAACTGCAGCTGATCTAAGTAGGAGAGGTACTTTAAACATTTATCCCCAACGTCCTACAGAACATTATTACATTTCCATGTGGGATTTTTTGTTGTAAGTAAGTATGCACTTGATGCATATTTGGATGCTGGTCAAGTGCCATAACAGTGAGAAGGACCAAAGAGAGTATATCAACAGAATATCAGTTTATTTTATGTGTTCAGTGTGGTTAGGAACCTGTAAAAATAATACATGATCATATAGTTAAAACACATATCATAATGAATGTGCCAGAGATTTAAAAAAATTAAGATTACAGGGTAACCTTGTTTCTCATATTTCTGAGTGAGCGCTGAACTTTAAAACAGTTACGATGTGTGTTGCTTCTCTGATTCTGATAAGCTCTTGAAGCTTTCTGTTCTTTTTTGACCAGAACGTGTGATCAACTACGTTGCACTGCTTGTGACTTCCGTGTGTCGCTTTTCAATGACTACATCTGGGATCAATCCTGTGATTATCTTTTTTTCAGGTATGTCTGAGGTGCTTTTGGTGTTAGTATTGTGTTACTGTGCCTTGGGACTTGACAGGAACAGAAAAGATGAAAAGTCCTGAGCACTCCTGTGTTACCTAAAAAGGAGCATGTATGGAACCTGTTCAGTGATCAGATGGGAAAGTCTGCAGGGAGAGGGATGCAACATCTCCCATAATCTGTTTTCATGCCTTTCCATTTCTTTACTCATCACTCTCCCTCTCTGCTTTTAAAAAGAATGCAAGTTTCGTGGATCAAAAGGCAACTTTACTGCTGAAATAAGCAGATAATCTGTGGTATGGGTCGGCCTCTGGTGTGCTATTGCAGGATGCCTACAAAATGAATACAGACTGTTCAGCATGTTCTTCTCACTATACCTTCAGTCACACTGACTGTGATTGTTTCAGGACAGATTTTCTCTTTTCCAGTATCAAGTATTATGCTGTGATGTTCAATGAAAATCAAATAAAATCCTTAAATTAAGGAGTTCTTATTTCCAGTTTCTCTAAAGCTGTATCTAATGCCACAACTTAGTGAAGGGCAGTGTAGTTGTCATGCTGGTAATAAAGACATCGAATTTGGATTCCTTTTATTTTAGTAAAGTCTCTTGTTCATGCCCGTTAACTGATGGAGGTAGTGGATGTGTTCAGAGTATGTGCCCTGCTTGGCCACCAGGGGGTGCGACAGCTGGAGTAGGACAGTGATGGATACGGCATCTCCTTTTCCACTATTTTTCTTGTTTTACATGTAAGGTTTTTCCTGTATTTTCCTTCCAGTTTCGAAATTTGTATTTCTCTTTGAGTGCAAATCTTATTTTCCCATTATTTAAAGCATCTTTAAAAATACAACGCTGCACTAGCCTCCTGAGATGAGTTTGATAGCTGGAAAGGTTAAATAAAAATATGATTCTTTTACTTACCCAAAGTCCAAATTATTCAGCTTCTGAGATCTTGAAATTAATATTTTTTTTAAAAAAAAGACATGAAAGGTATTACTATCAGATATTTGTAACTGATTAAAATCTGTAATCTTTAGCAAGATATTTAGCTATTTATTTTAACTAACTTAAATTTTAAAAAGCAAACTTGAAGATTAAACATTTGCCTTTCATTAATAGGTGTCTGATCTCTTTTTCTAAAAATTCTTCCTTTGATGTTTGTTTTGGATTTCCTTTATTTAACTGGGCTTGCAAATGTTGGTTTTGAGCCATTCAGTGGCCAGTAATTGATGGCCGGGAGGAAGTCATGCGAGCAGGGATAGTTAAAATGCTAAATTTTCACTTGTTTTTTGAAACAAATTGTTTATGTAATAGCCATGCTGATTTTTCATTTGTTGTGGTTGATGCTTACACAGCAATTATTTGTGATTTGATGTACATTCTTCCCTCTTACGGCCATTTCATTTCAGTCACTTTAACAACAATCCTGAGTAACAGTTCCTGGTGAAAAGTTTAACTCTGTAGTTGTACCCATTCTGCATAGGGATTTTTACACCAAGTTTGATAAGATAAATACATTTTTGGACGATTTCTTAACATGAGAATTAACTCTACCTGGTTTTCTTCCCAACTATTTCTCTGGACAGAGAACATTGTTTACAAAAACGTCAATGTCCAGTTGATTGGAGAATACAGCAACTATGTACCGAGACTGCTCTGAGGAAAGGATTATGTTCAATATAGAATTTAAACATATCCCTAAATTCATTCATGACAGTGGTACTCAAAGATGTTAAGAGCTTTTCTGAATTGAAATGGCCTCATGAATCTTTTTTCTTTTTAAAAAAAATGCATGATCCTAAACTGAATTCACTTGATTGGCAGGAATAACATGCCTGAGCTCAGTAAACTAAGAGCAAAGATGATAAAGAAGAAAGGAGCACGAGCATATGCTTGTCAGTGCAGCTGGAGATCCATTCATGAACTAACTGACCTCCAAACAGACCAGCAGCTTCGGTGGGTTTGTGGTAAACATGCAGAATGAAGTCCTCTTGGTTTTGGTACCTACTTGTGTGGAAACAGGTTATAAACTCAATTTGTTTCCCACACAGTTTTCTGAGAACAGATGGAAACCTGAATACTTATATCTAGAAATAGATTATAACACCCAGACTCCAACCTGAAAACTTTTGTTTTCGATTTAACTGTCTTGCAAGCAATATAGGGAGTTGAATTATTAGAAGAAACAACCAATTTGGAGGCTTTCTGGAAGCTAAATGAGGTTAAAGCTCATACTCAGTAGTGTTAAAGGAAGAGGAAATCAACAGATTGAAACATGGGGCAAAGCACTTTGAGACTGTTTCTCATATCTAGCAGAGCGCCTTATTTCCCATGTCTGCAAAATCTTGGACTCAAAATGGTGAGTTGGGGTACAGCCATGACACACAGGCGTATGAATTTCTGCACGGAAATTAATACTGCTCTTCTCCTTTGCTCATAGCTGTTAATGAGCAAGTGGTTGTACATCTCTTAAAAAATTACTGCGAGATCAGCTCTGACCTCGAAGGTTTCAGCACACCCCAAAACTTAACTTTATTTTACCCACCAGTAGCCAAAAACTGCAGGTGCTGGAAATTTCCTTCTACTTCCTACTGCTTTCTTCAGAGCACTTTCTGCTGACTAAAGACTTTTACCACAGTGAATTTCCTGGATCTCCCTTCAGCCTTCACTGCAAGAGGTGAACAAGTTATTGTGCAATTATTAAATATTGGGCAATTTCAAAGAGATTCTGAAGAATATATGACTTTTCTATCAATATTTTCAAGGGGAAAAAGGCTCAGGCTTTTATGAGTGAGGAAATATGTATCCCCACTGACATTCAAATTTGGATTTTTTTTTCAGTTTCACTTAGCTTTCACTGCAGCTTCACTTCAAAATTCTACATATTCAGAAAGTGTAACTGTCCCATTTCAACACACTCCCTTCCCCCAGTAACATCGTAAAACTACTTCCAGTATCATGTTACTTGGTGAATTGTCTTGATTACAGTTAATGTCACTATAGTTTATGAGCTCTTTCTTTTCATTATGTATAAATAACACAGGAGATGGATTTGGGTCTTGGGCAGGCAGAGAGGAAGGAAAGGATTACCAGTCCTGGCAATTACTACATTGAAAAGTGTCTCAAAATGGGAAGTCTGTCAGTATTTTTGCTATGCAGTATGTGATACTGTACAGATAAATGCAAAATTACTTACTTTGTGCAATTCCATACAGAGCCATTTCTTTTTTTGTGTCATGGCCCTACACTGTACATTGTCAATCTGTTCTTTTTCTAAGTTTTTCCAAAACAATTGCATGGTCCTTCTTACAGAGGTCATCTCTCAAATCTGTCACTTTGTACCCGTCTGAATGAGCAGATCCCAGTAGTGACCAGAGGCATAGTGTACTCTGCATCCTGCTCACCTTCCCCCTCCATGAGTGTTTTTTTAGAACATGCAGAGGACCAGCAGTGTACCTGGTAGGCCTGGCGGTGCTTACGTACGCAGGGCTTCCGTGCTCTGGAGTGTGTGTTCCTGTGCCACATACAGCCTTGCTAGTAGGTTCAGAGGTGAGTTGGCTTTGGAGAGGTATTACTTGCCGTATGGTATAGACATATTTAGGGTCATGTATTGTTTACAATGCAATTGGTGTTTCAGGCTGAAGTTTCAACTGCTAGAGTCTAAAACTGTAGGTTCAGGAAACACAGAGGTCCAAAGACCAGTTGATTAATGCTCAATCAGCTACTGGAAGAGGTTTGCTTGCCTTTCTGTCATCTGTGAAGAGATAGCCCCCGTGTGGACTAAGCAGTAAGAGTCCCTGTGTTTTCTTCAGGTGGGCCTGAGTGATTTCCATTCCCAGAGAACATTAGTGCTAATGGTAAGAGAAGAACCCAGCAGTCGTATGTAATTTATTAACAAGCCCTAGAGAAAAATAAACCTACTTTCCATTATTCTCCTTGAAGAAGAATAATCCATTTCAAAAAGTGCTGAGTTGCCTTGGCTTGCATGTTCCAAGACCATTTGAAACTGATGACCAAGTAGCCCCACAGGATGCTCTTTTGGCCTGGATTTGCAATGGAACTTGTGCCACAATGTAGGAAACAAGTTAGGCTTGCAACTTGTGAGCAGGAAACAGGGCAAATCCTAACACCCATCTCAGTTCATGACACCAAGACTTATGTGACTTGGAAAAGGAGCATGTCGCCTGTGCCCTGCTTTAAACAAACCGGCAGAAATAGTCACCGCCTCTGGACCAGTTTGCACTACCAAGCATAGGGAGCAAATCGTGCAGAAACAAAAGTTCAAGACATCCGTTCTAGTGATTTTTATGACAAGAAGACAGCCTGCAGCACTTAAAAAGTGACGGCTAGGAAGGAATTGAGACAAAAGGACGAAGTGTGTAGGAGAAGTAAAAAGTATTAACACCAATATCTATTGACAACATTAGTCAGTATTTCTCCTAAGTCACCTCATCCCTCAGTCTTCACAGAATAGTTTGAGTTGGAAGAGACATTTAAAGGTCATCTAGTCCAACCCCCCTGCAATGAGCAGGGACATCTGCAACTACACCAGGTGGCTCAAAGCCCCATCCAACCTGACCTTGAATGTTTCCAGGGATGGGGCATCTACCACCTCTCTGGGAAACCTGTTCCAGTGTTTCACCACCCTCATTGTAAAAAAATTCTTACTTATATCTAAATCTTTCCTCTTTTAGTTTAAAGGCATTACCCCATGTTCTATCACAACAGGCCCTGCTAAAAGGTTTGTCTCCATCTTTCCTTTAAGCCCCCTATAAGTACTGAAAGGCCACAATAAGGTCTCCCTGGAGCTTTCTATTCTCCAGGCTGAACAACCCCAACTCTCAGTCTCTTCTCATAGGAGAGATGCTCCTGATCTTTTTTGTGGCCCTCCTCTGGACCCGCTCCAATAGGTCCATGTCTCTCTTGGGCTGAGGGCTCCAGAGCTGGACGCAGTACTCCAGGTGGGGTCTCACCAGAGTGGAGTAGAGGGGCAGAATCACCTCCCTCGACCTGCTGGCCACACTTCTTCTGATGCAGCCCAGGATACGGTTGACCTTCTGGGCTGTGAGCGCACATTGTCAGCTCATGTCCAGCTTTTCATCCCCCAGTACCCCCAAGTCCTCGGCTGGGCTGCTCTCAGTCCAGTCATCCCCCAGCCTGTAATGATACCAGGAGTTGCCCTGACCCAGGTGCAGGACCCTGCTCTTGGCCTTGCTGAACCTCATGAGGTTCACACAGGCCCACTTCTCTTGTTAGCCTAGAGAGTTGTAGAAAGAGTTCTCTTTTTGAATAGAGATTGTTGTCAGGTGATTGAATCACAAACACCAATAAAATTTCACTCCAAGCGCTGAAAGTGTTAGAAGAGAATCTTAATTGGTAAGCGTGAGTGGAAACCTGTGCATTCATGTGAAATCATCATATTTATTCAAGTGTAGTTACTTGTTTCTGGCCTTGGTCAGAATGGTGGGATATGATAGCTCTTTGTCCAAGTGAATTTTTAAACCGATGCAGAAATAATGCTTATTGTATTGGTTTTCATTACAGAATTTAGCGTATTTCTAGATCTGAGAATAGTTACGATGTCATTAAATATAATTATTTTGTTGGAAATAGGAGTGGTATTAAGTATTTGATTTCCCTTCCTTTGCTTTCTTCAGTTACATGTTACAAACCACTCCAAAGTCCTCAAATGAAAAAAATGTAAAGAAAGGTAAAATTAGAGCTTCAATGTTCATTTGATGAAGGTATCGTAAGATTGCACAAGATTTTCAAGATGTAGCCCAGACCCTAAGTGATATTTCCATGTCAGTTATCTGAGATTTATGTAAAGTATTTTCTTTAAGAATGCCATTCAGCTGTTGTCAAACGGAAGTACTGGAAAGTAGTTTTGCTATGTATAAATGTGACCATTGTTTTTCTCCGTTTTTTTTTTGCTTTGGAAGCAATAATATCATTTCTGTTTGTGAAACGGACAAGGTGAAAACTTGAGACTTTCATTTTGCTTGGGTGATGTGCTTGCACATTTTCTAACCTGCAGCGTTAGTGTGTAGCAGATCCCTCAACAAAACAAAAGCAATGAAGGATGACAAAGTCAGAATCCACGCAAAAGCATTCACTTGGAAATGTAATCAGTGGTTTTATATTATACCAACTTTTCTAAATCTGTGTTCCTACAGTACTTCTGGATAGGAACCCAATTCAGATGTACATAGTACATTTTGAGAGCTTCTCTTTATCAAATTTTAATGTGCTGTTCTAACTGTATCTCACTTGTTTTACCTGCAAACTATGGATAGTGTCCAACTCATATGCTGAATATATCTCAGGAGAGTAATTATTAAGGATCTTGCCCTGCCATAAAATTTAACTTACCGAAGAGCATAATAGCATTACATATTGCTAGCGCTGTCTAAAACGGAATAAAGATTTTGTTTTTCTGAACACCCATTTCAATTTTGTACTGAAGGTATTCTGCAAATGCTAGGCACTGGCGGCTGCCACTTGTTGAAAGACCGCTCGCTTCTCTTGTTTCCTGACATGTGAGTCTTTGGGTCATGTAACCAGCACATGTGGTAGTCACACAATGGGAAAGGAACTGTGTTGGGAGCTGCATAGGCAAATTTATCTTACTGCCAGGCTCTTTTGGCACAAGACCTGACCAGTTTTGTCTGTTGTGTGACACCCAATAACCGCAGACAGGCCAACCTGGAAGGGTTGGAAGAATAAAGCAGTGTCAGGTGTGCTCGTTTGTGAGGGCCACATACGCTGCCTGGGACTCATCACGTGTGCTTCAAGGAAAGTATGTTTCAAACATTGACACGTCAATAAAATAAAAAGTTGGGACAAATCTGAACTGCGTGTTGTGTAAGTTCTATTGTGGTATTCCTATCCAAGAGAAGCCTTCTGAAAATGATGTAGGACCATGTTTTCTCTGTCAGCAGGGTTATGAAATGCCCTTAATACAAAAACGTTGTCCAGCTTATA